GTAGGGGAAGAGACGGTAAAAAGGAACCGACTCGTCAAAGGTGACGTCCTGAGAGGCGAAGACCCGGCGCGAGGTGGGGTGGTAAAACTGCCAGCCTGGCGCGTCAGGGACAAAGCCAAGGAAGACACAGGGAAGTGTGCGGGAGGAGAGCTTGTCCGCGGAAGTATCGCGGACAAGGGCACGAGAACCCCACACCCGGAAGCGCGACGCATCGCCGACCTCCCCCGTCCAACGCAGTGTGGGCGAGGTCTCCGGCAAGGAGACACGGGGCCAGAGGTTGAGCTGATGCGCAGCGTACTGGACCGCAAACGGCCACAGAAAATGGGGAGCTGCCGCATGAACCAATGAGTTACGAGCGACCTCCATGACCAGGCCAATGCGGCGCTCTGCAACCCCATTCTGCTGCGGGGAGTCCGGAAGCGTGAAGGACTGCTCGATGCCCTCCGCCTGACAGAAGGCCCTCAAGAGGTCAGAGGAGAACTCACCACCTCTGTCAGAGTGCAGACGCAGGACAGGAAGCTCTGTCCTGAACCGGCGGCGGAGCTGGAGACGAACTGTGCGGATCCAAGGGATCAGAACAGCAGGGACCTCACCCTTGGTGCGCAAGGGGAAGACCGTGGTGTAACGCGAGTAGTCGTCGACAACCAGCAGAAAGTACCGCTCACCGCCCTGTCCACGGACGCGGGCTGGGCCCCACACGTCCAGGTGGAGGGTCTGCAGGGGAGCCTCTGTCGGGGGAAACGAGGAGGAGTGAGGAGCGGCGCGCTGCCGCCCCTCGACGCAAGGAAGGCAAGGCGGCGCAGGCGAGGCAGGGAGGGGAGGGAGAGACCGGGGAAGACCGGACACAAGGTGAGTGATGACGGTGCATGCCACGAAGGGGCGGCAAGGAGGGGTGACCTAGGCGGTGGTGCCAGAGAAGGGTCTGGTGCGACAGGGAGCGACACTCACAGGGGTGGGCTACTAGACCTGACGCAGACACCTGACCAACAGCAGCGACCTGAGGAGACACAGTGGTCAGTGTGTAGAGACTCGACCCCGGCTGACGAGTGAACGTAGCCAGGTGACGGCCAGTCCTGGAGCACGTGAGGATCGCCACACGCTGTCCTCCAGGGGTGAAGGTGTCAACCCAGTGATCCTGGATAACAGCGTTGCTCACCAAGTTCGTAGAGAACGAGGGGAGGTGGAAACCCGACAACGAGCCAGACGGAACCGCCGGACAGGGAAGCACAGTGGTAGACCGTGCAAGAACTGGACCCCCGGAGGGGTCAGCCAGGGAGACTGGAACTGGTGCAGGGAGGGGAGTGAGCTCAGTACTGTCACGAAAGAAGCAGCGGGAAGCACCTGAGTCAAGCGTGAAGGTGTGCAAGGCCTCAGCGGGCGCAGTACCGGAGAGCGCAGACTCGCTAGCAGGAGGGGGTGTACCGAAGGGAGTAGCCTCGGAAGGCACAGTACCTGAGAGAGCAGACTCGCTGGTACCTAGGGCAGTGGGCTCTATACATGGGTTAGGCGGCACACACAAGTAACAGTCCCCCTCAGCACTAACAGTCAATGCATACATGGCGGCAATAATAGCATCATAATCAAGAGCAAAGATATCAACACCAGCCCTCATCAGATCAGCCCAGCGGGGGCGCTCAACCTCCTCGCCCATCTCCTCACGCCAAGCGTCGTCAAGGCGGGAGAAGCAGCGGTACTGGGTGTGGAACCTCCCACACTTCTGCCCCTTGCGTTCACCTGTGCGAATGACATAGGAACAGCGACCACTGCCTCCCAACGGCCCACGCTGAGCAAGCCACTCACGGAGCTGCTGGGTCGTCTGAGGACGCTGCTGCTGCTGAGAGGTCTGGCCTGAGCCTGGGCCTACACTCCGACCACCACCGCCGCCACTACCGCCGCTACTACCGCCGCTCCAACCGCCACCGCCGCCGCCGCTACCGCCACCACTGCCACCGCCGCTGCCACCGCCGCCACCGCTGCCACCACTCCCGCCGCCGCCCCCGCCCCCACTGCTGCCACCACTCCCACTAGCACTCCCGCCACCGCTCCCTCCAGCACCGCCTCCTCCCCCACCTCCCCCACCACCTCCCCCCCCAGCGCCACCCCCGCCACCCTTGCCCCCCTTGCCCTTGCCGGTGCGGCGCCTCCCACCAGGAGCAGAAGCAGCGCCAGCAGACTCAGCACCAAGGAGGTCAACAGCAGCAGCAGTAGCGTAGGAGGGAGCGAGGGGAGAGGGAGAACACCCCTCAAAGATGGGGGTGCGAGGAGCGCCACGAGCAGCACCTACAGCTACAATGCTCTTCTCGGCTGCTAGCAGCTTCTCCTCTAGGAGGGGGACTGTGAGCTCAGTGGGACAGCGGGCAAGGAAGTAGTCTCGGACTGAGCTGAGGGTGTCAGGGAGACGGGTGACTATGAAATGGAGCGTCCAGTACAGTGGAGGGGGGTTCTTAGCGCAGAACTCGGTGGGAAGGGCGGCACGCAGGCGAGCATCACTAGTGCGAAGGTGGGTGATGAGATCGGCGACTGTAGCAAAGGTGGACAGGTCAGGGAACAGGTAAGGCAGCATGAGGCGGCTAAGCTCGGCTGTGGCAGGTGAGGAGTAGCGAGCAACGACAGCGTCGTACAGGGCCTTAGCGGTTTTGCAGTCGCCAAAGTGCTCTAGCTCAGCGAACGGCAGGTGACTGCGAATAGCCAGGCGAGCTGCAGCGTCACGAGTCTGCCACTGGGAACGTACACTAAGCTCGGCTGTGGCAGCAGGAGCAGCGGCAGCACCAGACGCATAGTCATAGAGGGAGACGTGATCCGTGCTATTGCTCATAAGATACAACTGCAGGTCGTCGAGCCAGGAAGTGAACTGCACGGGACGGCCCTCAGCATCGAAGGAAAGAACGCGAATAGAGGCCATAGCTCAGGCGTGAGGGCACAGCAGAGGGGACGCGCTAGATCGAAGCTAGCAGCCGCAGCAGGAGCAAGCGGCGGTGCACGGGCAGGGAGCAGCAGGCGAGGCAGGTGAGGCGAACGCGGGTGCGTGGGGCCGCGGGGCTGCGCGCGTAGGGGAGAAGGGGCGGCCGCGGCAGCAACAGGGCTGGCGGCGGGCGGGTAGGGCTACGGGCGGCAGCGCGACTGGCGGGCAGCCGGGCGGGCAGCACGGCGGGCAGCGCGGCGGACAGCGCGACGGGCGGGCGACGCGGCAGGCAGCGCGACGGCGGGCAGCGCGGCGGGCAGTGCGACGGGCGGGCAGCGCGGCGGGCAGCGCGGCGGGCGGGCAGCGCGGCGTGCAGCGCGACGGGCGGGCAGCGCGGCTGGCAGGCAGCGCAGCGGGCTGCGCGACGGGCGGGCGACGCGGCAGGCAGCGCGACGGCGGGCAGCGCGGCGGGCAGCGCGGGCGCACGAGGGCGCTAACGAGGGGCGCACGAGGGCGCTAACTGGGGCGCGCGAGGGCGCTAACGAGGGGCGCGCGAGGGCGCTAGTGAGGGCGCTAACGAGGGGCGCGCGAGGGCGCAGCGAGGGCGCGCGAGGGCGCTAACGAGGGTGCGCGAGGGCGCTAACGAGGGCGCACGAGGGCGCAGCTAGGGCGCAACGAGGGCGCATCGAGGGTAGGGCGCGGGGTAGCGTGGTAACCGCATGCGTGCGACGGTGGGCCCTAAAAAAAAAGATCGGTAGGTCCTAGGGACCTCCTGCTCTGATACCATGTCAAGATTCTAGGCAAGAATGAAATGCACTGAAAAGAGAACAAGAGTACAAGTACCTAACCCTAATGGGGTTGTACCCTATATTGTCTACCCCACTACAGCCTACCAACACATTATAATTTAACACTGCAGTTCGTTTGCGTGCACGTTAGGAAACATAGGCGAGAACGGACTGGGGGCATGAACACGTTTGAGGTTTCACCTTGCAAGACCAGAGCACTCACGCTTAGTAGGGCTTCGTAGGCGTTTCTTCTGTTACACATGAGGAGCCATGGCTCCTGTAGGGGACGACGATTATTGAACAGGGTTTTTTTTTACGTACACTGATGCGACAGGGTAAATTTTTTGAAAAATTGGTTTACCCTGATGGCAAAGATTTTTTACAAGGGGTCACATTGATAATCAGGTTTTTGAGCTGCTGGTACACTAATCCCAAGGGTTGGTCCGATCCAAAAATTTGCCCTGGCCGAACCCAAACTGACACGAAGTGTTCGGGCTGTCCTCGCTAGGAGCAGCCTCTACAGTAATGAATCCATATTCATTACAGTGTTAACGCCTCAAAACACTTAATGTAATTCTGGCTGCGGGTTGCGATCGACATTATCGGGTCTCCTCGCTTCCAGGCAATACCGTAGTAGGATCGCCTTCGATCGATACGATCAGAGGGGAACCGCACACTGCACCCATCAGCAGCAACAAAAAAGCAGGTCACTTGGGGGTTGCAAAACAGCATCGTGGAAACCTGTGTCAAAATTGCATGTTTGTCTTGTTGGTCCATCAATCACCTCATCGTCTGAACCGAGTTATAGACAAGCTCACACTTGTGAGTGGTGTCCGTTTCACCACGCAAGGGCGTGGTGGTGCGGTCCAACCAGCCGACCCATGCAGGGGGTCTCTTGAATCTTTCATTCCTGCTCTAAACATCATGGAACCATCCTGTCAAAGTATAAATGTGCTATATGTTGGTAGGCTGTAGTGGGGTAGCCAATATGGGGTACAACCCCAACTAGGGTTTCCTATTTGTACCCTTGCTTCTTTCAATCCAATCATTCCTGTCTCTAGTTTCTAACACATCCCTCTCGGCTGGCTCAATCAGTGTTTTTTTGAGACGGCACCCTGTGTGATCAGTGTTTTTGTTTTATTAACCCTGGAAAATCAGTGTTTCTAAGCAGGCAACACTGAAGATCAGTGTTACACCTCATGGGACCCTGAGTGCTCAGGGTACCCTAAAACGAACCTGAGGCCCTGGTATATATATAAAAAGAAACAATGGTGAGACAGCGAGTATTCCAGTGTGATAATGTCTCGTCGTCATGCGAAAGGAGCTGTGTCTATGGCATTTCCCAAATCAGCAATAAGGTCATCCACATCCTCAATTCCCACCTGGCAAACAACAAATTCATATTCCGGTATAAACTGATTAGAAAGAAGTGCATTCAAACATGGAACAGCAACAAAGTACGGTACACAAGAACGACAGTCCGGAAGATGGGAGAGAGGGAAGGGGAAAGGGGGGGAGAGAGAGGGAGAAGGGGAAGGGGGAAGAGAGAGAGGAGAGCAACTAGAGGCACTCTTACAGAGAGTCACTCTTACAGAGAGGCGAATGAGGTCTTCAACGAGGCCTCGCTCCCTGCGCACGTGGGCTGGTATGCTGGCATGCGACATGAAGCACGGCAGGCTGATGGACGTCGCCACGCTGCCTGCACGCCCCCTCGTTGCAGTCAGCACCACCATGCAGTAGAGTCACACACACACACGCAATACAGTCAAGGAAAGCTAGTCACAGTATGGACATGCATGAAGCAGTCATTGTGATGAAGGAATGTTCTGGAGGTGACATTTGAGTCGACTCAATGGACATGCATGCAGCAGTCATGGTCACCAAGGAGTGTCCTCATCGCAATGCAGTCATGCATTCAACGCAGTCACGCAATAAATGCAGTCATGCACCCAATACACTCATGCACTTTATCCAGTCACACCGCTGCAGCATTCACTTCACACCACCAATTGCGAAACAAGACATGTGATGGTCGAAACCCACTCAGAGACCGCTCTCACTCCAACCAACACTGCTCGCATGTCATCTTACCGAAGCTGACAGCAATGTTAGCAAGCTTCATTGTCTCAACAATGTGCTTCGACGCGTTGATGTTGCCTGTTGTGAAACTGAGCACTGATCCCGCACCCTTGGCCTGCCGGATATGGTATAAGTAATTATTGGGAAGAATATGGATGGGGAAAGAACAATCGAGGCTGAACGGTCACAAATGGAAAATACCATTCAACAGTGGTGAAATAGAGTGAAAGTACAAAAATTAACCGGGGAGGCAAGTGAGCGAAAAGCTTGGACGATGCAACTGAAGCACCTGAAAGAACCACCTGACAGAAACACCTGAAAGAAGCACCTGAAAGAAGCACCTGAAAGAAACACCTGAAAGAAGCACCTGAAAGAAACACCTGAAAGAAGCACCTGGGAGAAGCACCTTGAAGAAGCATCTGGGTTAGCACCTGAAAGAGGAACTTAAGAGAGGCACCTGAAGGAGGAACCTGAGAAGAATACCAGAGACATCAATGAGAAAAACACCTGGGAGAAGTCGACAGGTGCAGCGCCTCCCATGTCGCATTCACCATGAGAGGACAGACTGGCATAGATCACTTTTTTTTCATGCGAGGTAGGGGGTTGCCAGAAACAAGCATGCACTGTGCGTGTAAAACCATGGGTGGCGCGAACAACCATGGGTGGTGCGAAAAACCATGGGTGGTGCGAAAAACCATGGGTGGCGCGAACAACCATGGGTGGCGCGAATAACCATGGGTGTGGAACTTCCACAGTGGAAGCGGGCATGGAGACAGATGGTGGGAAGGCACCACCAGGGAGAGGTGCAGGTCACTGTTGGCATGGGATGGCAGACTGGCATCGAACACTCTACTCACGGGTGGAGGGGTTGCCGTGGACAAACAAGGACTGTGTGAGAGAGGGAATAACCATGGGTGTGAATCAATCAAGCGTGGAGGCATGGGCTGGGGAAGTCACCTGGGAGAATGGAGGTCACGGTTGGGAGAATGGAGGTCACGGTTGGGAGAATGGAGGTCACGGTTGGGAGAATGGAGGTCACGGCTGGGAGAATGGAGGTCACGGTTGGGAGAATGGAGGTCACGGTTGGGAGAATGGAGGTCACGGTTGGTATGAGAGGGCAGACTTGCGTAGAGTAGAGCAGTCTTTCCTCTCGCGGGTGGAGGGGTTGCCGGAGACAAACACGCACTGTGTGAGAGAGGGAATGGGAATGGCCACGGGTGTGAGTGGGCTAGGCTGGGAAATCACCTGGGAGAAGTGGAGGTCGCGGTTGGTGTGGGATGGCACGCCGGCATAGAAGACTGTCTCCACTCGCGGGTGACTGTCCAGGAACTTGGCTACCCTCTGCGCATTGGCCTGCACAAAGGTGTAAGATAGTGACAGGGGGTCGGGCTTGAGTTCACACATTGAAACAAAGTAACCATGTGGAAAGATGGGGAGAGGCTATTCTCTGTGCGTTCGCCTCCACACACGCATTAGCATGCGGGGGTTAGAAGCAGCAGCAGCAGCTGCATGCATGGGTGCGACATTGGCTGTTGATTTAGCAGCCGCATTAGCACCTAAAACACACACACACAGACACACGCACGCACGCACACACGCACGCACGCACACACGCACGCACGCACACACGCACGCACGCACACACACACGCACGCACGCACGCACGCACGCACACACACACACACACACGCACACACACTCCCCATTCCACGCATAAACACGTTCACCCGTACCTGCTGGCGCTCCAGGCGCAGGGGCAGGGTCTTGATGCCGCGCAGGCACACCCAGCAGTCGAAGGGGCTCAGCCCTGACCCCTCCGCGTTCTGCACAAAGTAAATCTCCTTCGCCAGGCTGGAGGGGGGGATTTTGGCGGGTTGGGGGTTGGGGGGGTTGGTCATAGATTAACAGGGGTAGGTAGAGGTCTCAAAGGGGCTCAGCCTCAGCCCTGACCCCTCTGCATTCTGCACAAAGTAAATCTCCTTCGCTAGGCTGGACGAGTGGGCGACGAGGGAAAAGGAGGAAGGGACGGGGCGGGGGAGTTGGCAGTTGGGATAGTAGAAATCTCCAGAGGGGTTCAGCCGTGAGCCTTTTGCATTCTGCGCACAGGAGATTTCTCGAGGCACGCTGGAAGGGGTGGGGGCACGAGAGGATGCGGGTGCGCGCCCTTGAGCATATACGGCCTTCATCCCCTTGAGAGACACACTTGAGACGGACACTCGCTCACTCACTCTGGATCGTTGACAGCCAGTATGCCAGCCATCACGTCGCTATGAACTTGGTGCCGCTGTGCATGACAATGTCTGCTCCCAGCTGCAGCGGCTGTGAGAGAATGGTGTGTGATTGTGTGTGTGAGCGTAGATGTGTATGTGTTTCCCCATGACTCACTCTGGGTCATTCACAGCCAGTATGCCAGCCATCACATCGCTGTGACCGCTGACGAACTTGGTGCCACTGTGCATCACAATGTCTGCTCCCAGCTGCAGCGGCTGTGACAGCACAGGCGACATGATGCTGTTGTCCACCAGCAGCAGCGCACCCACTGAGTGGGCTATGTCTGCTATGGCCTGGAGGAAGGGAAAGGAGAGAGAGGTGGAAGGGTCACTGTTGTAAGCTCTGTCGGCTGTGACAGCACGACCAGCAGCAGGGCGCTCACTGAAAGGGCTATGTCCATTATGGGCTGCGAGGCAGGGGGAGGGGAGAGAAAGGGAAGCGATATTGGCTTCGGTAGCTCGAGTGACATGATGCTGTTGTCCTCCAGTAGCAGCGCACCCACTGAGTGGGGGGTTGGTTGGCATTGGTATCAGCGGTCTGGGGGAAGGGAGAGAGGGGGCGGTTGGTTGCCATTGGTATCAGCTGCAGCAGCTACGACAGCAGGAGAGGTATAAGCAGCAACTGTTTGTAATAAGATAGTCAGAGACATTGGAAGAAGAGGAAGGGGGGAGGAGTGTAGCCCAGTGCCATGTGGTGCAGTGTAGTGTAGCACGGTGACTTGCCTTGATATCGCTCATCATCGTGCGCGGGTTGGTGGAGCTGACCATATCGACCAGCAGACGATTGGTGGTACAGGGGCACAGTGTGCTACAGCGCAGTACAGTGCAGTACAGTCCAGTCCAGTGCAGTGTAGTGCAGTGCAGTACAATACAATGCGGTGCTCCGACTCACCCTGATATCGCTGATCATCATGCGCGGGTTGGTGGGGCTTTCCATGACGACCAGCTTGGTGTCTTCTCTCACTGCCGCCCTCACTGCTTCTAGGTCAGTTGTGTCCACTCGCCTGGTGGGAGACAGCACGGAGAGGGAAAGGGAGAGAGAAAGAGAAGAAGGGAAAGAGGAGGGATGGTGAGTAGAGTGAGATCTGGACAGGGATGGGCGAGTATAGTGATTAGAGTGAGATCTGGACAGGGGTGGGCGAGTATAGTGATTAGAGTGAGATCTGGACAGGGGTGGGCGAGGCTCTCCATGACGACCACCTTGGTGGCGGGCTGCACTGCCACCCTCACTGCTTCTAAGTCGGTTGTGTCCACTCGCCTGGAGCGAAGGAGCAAAGCGAACGAGAGTCAGCTGAAAGCAGCAGCAATTCCACCTGACCGAAACATACTGGCCACCTGAAAGCAACAGCACCTAACAGCACCAGAACACGCACCTGAGAGCAACAGAAGACCCACCTGACAGAAACAGAATTCCCACCTGGGAACACCAATCACACGCCTGACAGGAACATAAGGCCCACCTGGTAGCAACAGAAGACCCACCTGAAAGCAGCAGAGCACCCACCTGACAGCAACACCTGCACGAGGCACCACTCGTGACAGAAGGCGGTCCGTGCCGCCATAGATGTCGTCCCCTGCCACTATTGCGGACCCTGCAGGGAGGGGACACATACGGGCCAGGGGGAAGGGGGTGGTTTGGGGGGGGGTTGGTGGGGTGGGGTGGAAGTGGGGGGGGGGAGAAAGTGAGTGATTGACGGGGTTCCATGGTTCCATCTTGTACATTGTGGGGAGGGAGCAGCCAGTCCGCGCTGCTGTATGTGCGTCACTCGGTACCATTGAGGAACCTGTAAGGAGAAGAGGGGGGTGGAAAGGAGGCGCCAGGGAGGGTGGAGCAGGAGGCAAGTGAAGGGGGTCGATGCACCGGTGTGTGTGTCCCTGCCCCCATCAATTTCATCACTCGCCACAGTGGAAGACCTGAAAGGGAAAGAGGAAAGTGGCAGGGAAGGAATGGGCATGAGGTGGTAGGCAGGGAATGAACCAAGCATATGGGCATGAGGAGGTAGGCAGGGAATGAACCAAGCATATGGGCATGAGGTGGCAGGACGGAGGAGGCAGTGTTGCTATCTGCTTTGGGAAGCTCTACATAAAATGTCAAACAAAGGTGCAGGAGGACAGAGAAGGCAATGAACACTTTTCATCGGTGGTAACGAATTTCTTCAGCAGTAACGAGTCTCATCATTAGTAACAACTTCACATGCGGTTACAAAATTCGCCAGTCGTAACGAGATCTCACCGGTGGTAACCAGCCTGGTGGCTGCAGCAAGTGCCGCCATCCCGGTGCTGAAGGCAAAGGCACGATGCGCCCCCTCCACCTCCGCTAGCAGCCTGCAGAAGAAAAGAAGCGTGGGGAGAGAAAAGTGGTAAGGACAGGAGAGGTGTCACGGCAAAAGCACGATGCGCCCCCTCCACCTCCGCTAGCAGCCTGCAGGGGCGAGAAACGTGGAGAAGTGGAGAGAAGCGTGGAGAAGCGGGGAGAAGCGTGGAGAAGCGTGGAGAAGCGTGGAGAAGCGTGGAGAAGCGGGGAGAAGCGGGGAGAAGCGTGGAGAAGCGGGGAGAAGCGTGGAGAAGCGTGGAGAAGCGTGGAGAAGCGTGGAGAAGCGGGGAGAAGCGGGGAGAAGCGTGGAAAAGCGTGGAGAAGCGTGGAGAAGCGTGGAGAAGCGTGGAGAAGCGTGGAGAAGCGTGGAGAAGCGTGGAGAAGCGTGGAGAAGCGGGGAGAAGCGGGGAGAAGCGTGGAGAAGCGTGGAGAAGCGTGGAGAAGCGTGGAGAAGCGGGGAGAAGCGGGGAGAAGCGGGGAGAAGCGGGGAGAAGCGTGGAGAAGCGTGGAGAAGCGTGGAGAAGCGTGGAGAAGCGGGGAGAAGCGTGGAGAAGCGTGGAGAAGCGTGGAGAAGCGTGGAGAAGCGTGGAGAAGCGGGGAGAAGCGGGGATAAGCGGGGAGAAGCGTGGAGAAGCGTGGAGAAGCGTGGAGAAGCGTGGAGAAGCGTGGAGAAGCGTGGAGAAGCGGGGAGAAGCGTGGAGAAGCGGGGAGAAGCGTGGAGAAGCGGGGGAAGCGGCAGGCAAGAAGAAAGAGCAGCATCCGTTGATTAGAAAGGCTAACGCACGGTTGGGAAAACTGGGGGAGATCTTGATTGATGGGAAGAACGGGAGAGGTGACGTTTGGGAAGAGGTGATGTTAGGTGTTTCTTTGAGCAAAGGAAAAAGGTGTTGTTCAGAAGAGAAGTGTTTCCCTTTTTTCCTCCCACACCTCTCTTTGTTTCAAAATCACTTCACACACACTTCCCACTCACTTCCCACCCACTTCACACACACTTCCCTCTCACTTCCCACTCACTTCACACACACTTCCCTCTCACTCACTTCCCACTCACTTCCCACTCACTTCCCACACACTTCCCTCACACTTCCCACTCACATCCAACGTACTTTTCAAGGGCGTCCCTCGTAGGGTTACCACTGCGGGTGTAGTCGTATGCGTTATTCTCCGTCGCAGAGACCTGTCGCATAACAAACAGGGAGAGGGAAGATCCGGATAAAAAATTGTTAGTAATTGCAGTATGAATTCGGATGAAAATGAATTCCGTTCTTGCAGCATAAATATTCCCATTTTCCTACATTGGCAAAGGCACGTGATGTTTAACTTTCAACTCCCATGAAGATTCGCACTCCCATGGCTCTGCCCTATGGGTCGAAATCCGCAGTTTATGTAGTGTTGAAACTGGGGGCAAACTGTGTTTAACTAACTACCGATGCTTTTTGAGGCGCCTCATAACGCGCCTGAATGGTGTTTAAGCTGAGGAGAAAAGTGGCTGAAGCTGGGGTAAACTGTGTCGAATCTCCAGCACGAATTGGCGATACTGCTTCTGCTTCTAAGCGAATGCGACTTGTAGTTTTTAAGCTGAAGGTGAACAATGCGCGACTGAAGCTGGCGGTAAACTCTGTCGAGATACCAATGCGCATTGGCGATCACATGGCCCCTCTGTCGCTGCTCTCCCCCACCCCGTATACTTGAGGCGTCTAAAAGATAAGCTGGCGGTAAACTCTGTCGAATCATCAATGCGCATTGGCGATCCCGCGGCCCTCTATCGCTGCTCTCCCCCACCCCGTATTCTTGAAGCGCCTGTAAGATAAGCAGGGGGGAGACTGTGTCGAATCGCCAATGCGCATTGGCAATCCCCCAGCTTTTCTGTCTCTGCTCTTCCCCACCCCGGTTTCCCAAGTCTACCCCAAGCTTCACAGTTTGACTTGTCGAAATCTAGCCGTTTGGTAGATAAAGGACGTGCATCCTGGCATGCCGAATCCTGAGTTTCCTAATAATTTATTTCAAGAGTAACATGCCAATTCGCATTGGGACTGCATTGCATGAAGACGCGCTGACCTGTCGGAAAGTAGCCGTTTGATAGATCGGCGTGCTGACGGCTCCGTACGGATCGAATTCGGCGCCCTTACAGTGAAGGATCCGCGTTGCAAGGCTCTGTGAGCCGTCCGATCCTGATCGCTCCTCTGCCTGACCCTCGCCTGCTTCGCTTCCCTCCCCGCCGTGGGCGCTACTACTTGTCGCCATTAACCGCAAATATCGCTGTGGATTGCGCGGCGAATGGCGGGGGACTACAGACAGGGAGGAGATGAGCCTAGTAGGAGCTAGCGAACCGCATTGGAATGAGGAACGCAGTAGCAAGTTCGAACAAGGATCACGGGACGAATTCCGCGCGACGGTCGCGCTTGATTCGCATGGGAAGCAAACGACGCTCCGTGGGTGTGAGAGCGAGGCGGCTCGGTTCAAAACACTCATAATGGCGACCAGTTAGGCCGCGAGATCGCGGAGGACGAGATCGCGAAGAACGAGACCAGTTAAGCCGAAGAACGAGATCGCGAGGTTGAGAGAACGCTGCTTTGTTGGAGAGAAGGGGATTGCAGAAACTTGGGCCCTGATGCTGTATACGCGATAAGAGGTGTACAAACCACATTGAAATTCTCGAGGTTCCCAAGGTATACGCAAAAGGGTACACCTTATCTTGTGAGTTTGCAACATACGGACGTTCAGTTCAGACTACCAACAACTTCAGGCCATGGACCAGAGAACACAACATTAATAAATACAGACTGAGTCTCAACAATGGAAACCTTCGTCTAAAGGTTCCCCCAATGAAAAATAAAATCTCCAAACCTCAATAAGACCTACAACCTAAAGTCGCTTGACTTTAAAGCCAGCAGCTAAACCCCCCTTTTCTGTGTACAATAGTTGAAAATGAATATGCGCGTCACCTTCTAAAGGGGCAGAATCCGAATTTTGTCGTGTCATTTGTGTCAGAATCGAGTTCTGACACACCAATCGCGTCGCATACAAGTTTTGACGCCTCTGACGCGCAGCTCGCGCAAATTTCGCGCACGCGAGATGTTTTTCTTGAAATTGATGGAAAGGATTAGAGAGGGTAAACTGCAAGTAGAAAGCAAAATGCCTAAAAAAAAAAGTAAGATTGAAGGAAGAGAAACTGCATAAGATAAAAGAAATTATTGATGTGATTGATTTAGAATGTAAAGAGTTTGAAGAATAAGGTTTAAGGTAGAAATAATAAACTTGAAGGAAAGATGATGATAAACATAAAGGGGAAGGAAAGATTCACTGAAAGATTTACTGAAAGAAAGATATTGAATTAGTGATTGATGGAAAGGCAAATGATGTTAAAGATAAAACAACCTTGATAGTAGTATTAAAGATTTGAAAAGAAAGGAGATATAAAACTTTAAATAGAGGAGCTTGAATAGAGAGGAACTTGATAAAACAAAAGAAGTTTAACAAAAATGAAAGAGGAAGTGACTTACCTTGAGAATCTTACTTGTTATTTTGAAGGAGCTTTGTAACTTGAAGAGGCCAAGCTTGAATGTAGATCTTGATTGTTGAAAGAAGAATGAGATCCAAGCTTGAATGTTGAATACTAGATCTTGATTGTTGAGTGAAAATGGACCTCCAAGCTTGAGTGTTGAGATGTAGATCTTGTTTGTTGTGTAGAGAAGAAATCTCCAAGCTTGAGTGTTGAAGGTGAAACTTGAGTCTTGAATTAGAAGAAATTCAAATATTGATGTTGAGGCCTTAAGACTTAAAATGCACTAGTCCAAAGGAGGTACATGATGGACTTGAAGAGCAACCATAGATAACAATCTAGTAGAAAGACTATGAAGGCTTCTCTAGAGTTGGAGCACATGGCTACGAGCTTGGGTTGGGAGAGGTTGGTGGTGAGTGGAGCCTTAGGAGTTGAGCATGAAGAGGAGGACTTTGAAGGTGGCCTTGAGAGAGCTAGAACTTGTGGAGAGCTTGGATGAAAAGTTGCTTGAAAAGTATGAGTGAAGAATGAGGTGGACCCTTTTTTTGTATTTGGAGCTTGAGGTTGGATGAAGGAGGAGGAAAAAGGTGAATGATGGTGATTGGTTGAGTTGGATAAGGTGGGGGTGTTGAATGTGGCCTTGAAGTGAAGGCTTGGGGAGCAGAATGAATGTGTCTTTGATTTTAAGGCTTGGTGAGTGGAATGAATGTGGCTTGAATTAAAAGGCTTTGTATGGAATCTTTTGTTTGATTGGTAGATGAAGGGATTAGACAGATGATGAGGATAGGAGGAGAGATTAGGTGGAGGAATGATAGGTTGTGATTGGTGAGAAGGTGATGATGCTTTGCTGTCTGGAGATTTGAATGGTGTGGTGGCGAGTGGGCATTTGTGCAAGATGCCTTTTGCAGATTGGAATTTTGGCTGACGGGGAAACTGTGGCGAAAAAAAAAAAAAAAAAAAAAAAAAAAAAAAACGGTGAAAATTTTCATGCCACCTTGGTGCCACGCGAGCAGCAGCAACGGCAGTTCATTCCAACACCCCCCCGCACTACTGACCCTCAGAGCGAGATGAAGAAGGAGCGGAAGGGACAGCAGTGGAGAAGCCCGCAAGAGACTCGAGCGACACTAATCCAACACGTTGGCGGCCAAGAACGAAGAGGTGCCGTGGAAGTATCTTAGTTAGGAAGTCAGCAGCCTGGTCCGTGGTACAGTAGTAGGCCGGTGTCACAACCTTGTTCTTGATTAGCTCCCGAATGTAGTGATACTGCATATCAATGTGCTTGGTGCATCTATGATAGACCGGGTTCTTGCTCAAGGCGATCGCCGATGTGTTGTCAATGTGGAGAACGGTCGGCTCTTGCTGGGGAAGGCCCAACTCTTTCAGCAACCCTCTCAACCACACAGCCTCTCTTGCTCCTTGCGTCACAGCCATATACTCCGCTTGTGTTGAAGATAATGCCACACAGCCTTGCTTCTTCGATTGCCAAGAAATAGCTGCTCCTACCATCACAAACGTGTAGCCTCCAGTGGATTTCCGCTTTGAAAGGGGACCTGCCCAATCCGCATCCGTAAAACCATGCAAGACACTACCATGCTCATGTCCGTGAAAGAGGAGACCAAAAGATTTAGAGCCGGAGAGGTAGCGGAGTACATGCTTTGCAACTTTCAAGTGCTGAGTAGAAGGTGAGGAAAGGAATTGAGAAAGCATTCCCATAGCATGAGAGAGGTCTGGGCGAGTGCACACAGATGCGTACATGAGGCGACCAACAATGCTTTGATAGAGGTTAATGTCGAGGGAGAAAAGGAGGGATGAATGAGATGAGATGGAAGGAGAAGTGGATGAAGAGGATGAAGGCGCAAGGGCCTGGTGAAACTTGTCCCAGTTAGAGAGGGCTTCGGACTGAGAGGCCTGAAGGTCAGAGGTGGAAGGGGAAGAATGCTGAAAATTAGAAGGGAGAGGTGTAGATGCAGGATTGCAAGTGAGAAGGCCGAAGCGAGAGAGGACCTTGTGAATGTATCGCTCTTGGGAAAGAAAGAGAGAGCGAGAGGAACGGTCACGAATGATGTTCATGCCAAGGTAATAAGATGGCTCACCCATGTCTGTCATAACAAACTCCTTGGTGAGCATACCTTTGATGTGGGTGAGAAGGGTGAAGGAACCTGACAGCATGAGGATGTCATCCACATACACAATCAGCCACAATACCTCATGCGCCTTTGTATGCACGATTTAGAGTGCAGGGTCATACTCAGACGGTGTGAAACCTTGTGCCAGCAGGGTGGACTTCAGTGCATGATACCAAACCCTTGGAGCTTGCTTCAGGCCATACAGAGACTTGTGCAGCCTCCAGACTCTCTCAGTGCCATCGTAATACCCATCAGGTTGAGCCATGTAGATTTCCTCCTCCAAAATGCCGTAAACAAAGGCGTTGGAGATGTCCAGCTGAATGATGTAGAGATTCATCCGTACTGCCATGCCAAGAAGAGCGCGTACACTGGTGTACTTGACGACCGAAGCAAAGGTTTCATTGTAGTCTTGTCCAGGAACTTGAGAATATCCTTTGGCGACCAAACGAGTCTTGAACTTGTCCAGGGATCCATCACCCTTAACCTTCACTCAGTAGACCCATTTTACTCCCACGAGCTTCTTTCCTTCAGGTAATGGCTCCAACGTCCAAGTTCCCCGATCGAGTAGACTTTCCAGTTCTGCCTTTTCCACTGCTAACCACTGCTCCTTGAATGCTCATGCAATGGCTTCTTTGCGATTGAGAGGCTCGGGTGGAAGTTGGGAGATGGCGAAACATGTGGCATGGATCCTGTATTGGAAGCAGGTACGACCGCTACATAAATGACTTGGAGGTGAGCTGAGGAGAGGGCTGGGGTTGGAGTATGGCACATGAGAGGTGCATTGTGCTGAAGATGAAGTAGAGGATGTTGGTGGTGTTGTAGAGGACGACGTGCTCATGGCTGGTGGATTATTGATATCGATTTGGTTGGGCGACTTTAGCGATGCTGCTGGTTGAGAATGGGCCTTTGATGGAGCTTCAGTAGTCGAAATTGTCGAATGCTGTATAGGAAAAGAAGGGTGCTGTTGTGTTGCTGGTGGTTGCACGGTTGGCGGTATGAGTTGGTGATGATCCGGAAGGCGAAAAAGGGCTGCTGGACGATAGCCACTTGGTCGATGAACGACGAGAGGTGTGAGGGAAGGTTGAAGAGTGTGGGTGTTGGGAAGATACTACTGGTGCTGTTGAAACGTATGAGGGGATTGAAAAGGAGGAGGCAAATCTGATGGAGATAGTTGCTGGCATGATGGAGGTGGTGATTGTTGCTGTTGCTGTTGTTCTTGTTGATGAGGGGCGGGTGCAGAAGATGACGATGGTTGGTCTTGACGTTGAGGCATCTTTTCGTGTTGCTCCTGCTGCGATGATGTAGGGACTCCACTTAGAATGATTGTTGGAAGTTCGAAATCTGCAAAGGTAGAGAAGGGAGGAACTTGAGAGGACACAAGAGGGAGAGAAGATTTCCAAGAGGACGGGGATATGTCTTCATAGAAGACCACGTCTCTTGACACTACATCTTTTTTGAGGAGAGGAAGATCCCACATCAACCAACCCTTACTTTCCTTTGACATACCAAGATACATGCCCCATGCTGCCTTGCTGTCAAACTTACGGCGTTTATCATCCAATACCTTGTACTGGCCCATACAGCCAAAAACTCGGAGCATGGACACATTCGGCTTTATGCCGTATAATGCCTCATAGGGTGTAACACCCTCAGCAAGGGAGCTTGTTAGCCGACGATTCTTGACCCAAGCAGCATGGGTAACAGCTT